TTTTCCCCATTCAAAACTATACGAGTGACACGTCTTGGGTATTCTGTAGTCTTTGCAATAATCCACAAGTAATCCACACCACTCCAGTCCATCAGTTAATGTCTTGTGAGGCTTAAAATGTTTTTATAAGAAACAAATCCATCAAGGCGCTTTATAACATTAAATTGTCACTTTTGGCCAAAATGCAAGTCCTCTCTATCCATAATACTGCTATCTATAAAATGGTCTTGTCTGAATCAGAAGAGAAATATGCACAGATCAATCATTGTTTACAAGTGAAAATAGTCAAAACAGTTCTAAACAAAAATGTTGGTGGATTTTGATGTGAGACTTTGAACTTTTTCACAGGAGAAAGTGTTGTCCAGTAGCGATGGTTTAAAGTAAAACATTTCTTGATAGATTTGTTTCTTGGAAACATGCGGCTTTTGGCTTCACAAGACATTAACTGATAGACTGGAGTGGTGTGGATTGCTTGTGGATTATTGTGATGTTTTTATCAGCTGTTTGGACTCTCATTCTGACGGCACCCATTCACTGCAGAGGATTAACTGGTGATGTAATGCTAAATTTCTCCAAATCTGTTCTGATGAAGAAACAAACTCATCTACATTTTGGATAGCCTGAGGGTGAGTAAATGTTCAGCAAATTTTTATTTTTGGGTGAACTGTTCCATTAATGGGGATTCTACATTATTCAGGGGGCTAGTAAAATTGAATAATTAATTGATTTCTGTCTTGTTTTTTCCCCACAGCTGTGGTAGGAACGCATATAACTACAGTCATGAACACACAATGCATTCAGCAGCAGCAGCCTGTAATGCAGGGAGGCCAGTACCCACAATACCAACCAGTGCCGACTCAAGCGGGTTACGGTGGTCAGCCTATGCAGACAGGACCATATCAGGGACAGTCATATGCACCAGGACCCCCACCCTCGTATCACGTGGCCAGTAAGAACACCTAATACTGGATAGACTGAGACCATGTAGTAGTCTTTTCTGTGAAAGTAACTAGTGTCTTTTACTGTTTCCAGTGAGTCCTGGATATCCCACTAGTCAGGGTGCATATGACGGAGGCCAGGCCATGTACCCCATGCAGCCGCCTGCCCAGCCAGGTGTTGCTCCTATGCTTTCAGAGACATCGAATCAGCCGGCCTACAACCCCGCCTACATGCAGCCACCAAACACCGGTTACTAAACCGCAACCGTCTCTCAAATCAGTCATTGCTGGATTGTGGAGGTTGACGCACTTTCGCAAGGCAGTAAGAATGTGCCTAATCTGATGTGCATTATACAAGACTATTGGATGTGTTAAAGTCAGGGTTATTACAGTTTTTAATTTGAGTTATTTTGTTTTATTACTTTCAATTTCTTTCAGTTTAGTTTAGTAAATGATTTTTGGAATTGTAAATAAAACAAAGATTACTATAGAAAGTTTTACATGAAAATACTATTTCAATCTTTCTACTTTCTACAAGCAATGAGTGAAAATTGTTTCTACACCTTTTTTTTTTTTAAATGCAGTTTTAGTTTTTATTAGTGTTGTCTGCTTTCAGTATTAATTATTCTAGTATACACGGATACACAATATTTGAAAATACTAAAAAGACTAAAATCTAAAATATAACTTGTCATTTTTATTTAAATTATTTTTGTTAGCTAATACTCTTTAGTTACAGCTTATGTAATTTAGTTTTTTAGTTTTCATATTAAGTTTCATTATGTAGACCACATATAAATGTTTTGTTTTTTCCCCCTACATTTCAAATGGCAGGAATTGTGATTCTATTTAAAGAAAGTGTCAAAAAGTTTTCCATTTTGAGTTTTTTCCTTTGAGGGTCTAAAATGCAACCGCATTTTAATAACAATGAGTGTCACAAAATTTCCACAAATATGTCATGAGTCCCACTGACTTTCTGTACCAACAAGTTTAAATCCACATGCTCGCTTTTAAGCACAGAATGGCTGTCAAGGTAGGAAAAAGGGTTAATTTTGTTAAAGCAACCTTTGTTAAAGCATTAGGAAACCACTGTCATTTGCAGTTCCTTTTCAGATTTTATTTTATTGTTTCAGGTGACATTGTTTTTTTGCGATGCAGCCTATTTGTTTAATGGCTATACATTTTGAATATGTTTAATTGGTGTTTTATATGTTTTCTATGTGTTAAAGATGTGAAAAATATATATTTTACTGTCTTTTAAAAAGAAGAGAAAAAAGGGAGCTAAAAAGGTCTTACAGGAGAACATCAAAGATGTCAAACTCAACATAGTCGTCCAAACCGGCTATATAGTTTGGACTGTCTTTTATGCAGTGCTTGGTGAACTTGCAGCACTTGAATGTATATGGGGCCCCTACTGGTGAAATAAAACAGAAAAAATCTCTAGTGTTTGTATTGTTACTAATCATCTAATTGTAGATGACATTCTAAAATACAAGAGTATTTTATATATTTCATTCTTTTTATTTATATATTTAAATATTTTAAAATTCTGTGTGCAGGCTTTTAATTCTTATTTTTTATAGGTAAGTTCAGAGAGATTCTTTTTATTGTTTTGAATATGATGCTAAATATGTTTTAAATATGATCCCAGAAATCATATTTTACTTTTATAGTAATTTGTTATACCTTAGTACTGAATGATTACTATATTCATTTACCATAGTATTGATACTCCAACCCTTATGAAAATTAACCATGGTTTTATAGTAAAAGTGTAGTAACAATGGTTTTTCGGTGACCATCACCACAGTTATATTACAAATACTATGGTTAAACTATGGCTAATGTAGCAAAACCATGGTTAATTTGTGGTTACCATGGTTTAACTGCTGTACCCATGGTTTTTTGGTTTTATTTTAGTTAAACCCATGGTTCATTTTTGCAAGGGAAGGTAGTCCAAAACACTAGACATAGACATCTACCTTCTTGCATCCACTTGTTGTTACGTTTACTGTTTGGAAAACTAGTCAGGTTGTGGAGAAGTTAAAACGTTTTTTACGAGTTTTGATTCAAACTGAAACGTAACAAAATATGAAGTTGTAGTTCCCTTTAGAACGGTCTCTCCCTTTGTGTTAACGCTATGGGAAACTTTTGTTTACTCTGATAGAAGCCTGATTTGATCACATTTGTGTAGCTGCACGAATCAATGGTGCTTCAAACTGCCAAAAGGGGTGGAGTCGACTGCTATATAAGTCGGCTCTGAGCGCCATTTCGTCAGAATTTTTCTCCTTCAGCGATGAAGACCATCTCCTCACTGGACTCTGAAGCAGGAAGTCGAAGCAAGAAGCAAGAAGCTCTGCTGCTGCTGCTGCAGCACTTTGATCCGCCAGTGTGTTTTACACGAGAGGATCAGCACCCCTCGTGACACCTGACTTCCTTCTCCCCAATGGGTCATTACGAGCTAGCAGAGAGCGGACTGATTCACATCCATATGAAGTTGTAGTTCCCTTTAGAACGGTCTCTCCCTTTGCGTTAACGCTATGGGAAACTTTAGTTTACTCTGATACTGAAGCCTGATTTGATCACATTTGTGTAGCTGCACGAATCAATGGTGCTTCAAATTGCCAAAAGGGGTGGAGTCGACTGCTATATAAGTCGGCTCTGAGCGCCATTTCGTCAGAATTTTTCTCCTTCAGCGATGAAGACCATCTCCTCACTGGACTCTGAAGCAGGAAGTCGAAGCAAGAAGCAAGAAGCTCTGCTGCTGCTGCTGCAGCACTTTGATCCGCCGGTGTGTTTTACACGAGAGGATCAGCACCCCTCGTGACACCTGACTTCCTTCTCCCCAATGGGTCATTACGAGCTAGCAGAGAGCGGACTGATTCACATCCTCACCAGGCAGTGGAGAATCTCGGCATAGAATGGTCAGCCGGAAGAGCCTGCCCGCAGTCGCTTAGATGAATTGATGTCCGCTGGGCCATCGTCAACGAATCTCCCGCTAGAGACCGCTGCTATTTTTCCCAGAAGTTCACAATGATCTCACCAAGACATGGCGTGCCCTACTTGGTGCTTGTCCACTTTTCTAATTCTGCCACCCTCACCTCTGTTGACAGCACTGAAGAAAAAGGGTATGGCAAGCTCCCCCCTCGAGAAGAGGCGGTCACTGCACACTTCTACCCGCCATCTGCTTGGCAGATTTGCAGAGCACTTCACTGCAGCTCAGATGTTATCACAGGTTATGTGCCACTTCCTGCCTAAGAGCTCGAGCACTGCAGAATGAGGTTACTTGCTCCAGTTTGCTCGCAGACCTCTTCGCTTCAGAGGTATTATTCAAACTTCGGTACAGGACAACGATGCTCACGTTCTCCAGTCTGAAGTGAAACACTGCTTGCAAAAGGAGCAGTAGAAGCGGTTCCTCTAGTGAACAGCGAGTCGGGCTTTTACTGCCGCTACTTCCTTGTTCCCAAAGAAGATGGCGGGCTCAGGCCCATTCTCGATCTCAGGGTGCTTTCACACATGGCCTGTTGTTTCGGAACCTGGCGCGTTTCCCCCCCTAGCTCGGTTCGTTTGGGCATATGTGAACACGGCAATCGCGCCCGGATCCGCGCCAAAACAATCGGTCCGAGATCGCCTGAACTAGAAACTTTGCCGTGTGAAAGCGAACCGCACCAAGAATAAAAAGCAACATTGTAATAATTTTAATCCCTGTTTCGGAACAAAGCAATCGATCTACAGGTGTGAAAACACCCTCAGGCACCTGAATCGCTCGCTCATGAGACAGCCGTTCAAGATGCTTACTTTGAAACAGATCCTCGTGCAAGTATGCCTTGGGGACTGGTTTATATCGGTGGATCTGAAATATGCTTACTTTCACATCCAGATAGCCCCCTATCACAGACCGTTCTTGAGATTCGCGTTAGAGGGAGTGGCCTATCAATATACAGACCTGCCATTTGGACTGTCTCTGGCCCCACGCACTTTTACGAAGTGCGTAGTCACAGCTCTCTCCCCTCTGAGGCAGATGGGAATCCGCATCATGAATTACCTTGATGATTGGTGGCCACACTCTGGAGGAATCAGACATGGTTCCCCGAGTTGATTCAGCTGCTATCGGCAGCCCCCTGGCCGATACCATTGAGGAAGGACCTCCTCTCGCAAGCGAAGGGCATGATTTTGCATCTCTGGCCAGAGCTGTGGAGACTTCATGTTTGGCCCCTCGACGGGAGTCTTTGCAGCTTCCCGCAAGTGTAACCAATAACATTTTGGAGGCTACAGCTCCGTCTACAAGATGTTTCTACTCTCTTAAATGGTCAGTCTTTTCTGACTGGTGTGCAGCTTGTAATCAGGACCCACCCTCTTGTGACATGTCCTACATGCTAACCTTTCTACAAGAGATGTTGGACAAGGGGCGCACCCCTTCCACGCTCAAAGTCTATGTGGCAGCCATTGCGGCGAATCATTCTCTTGTGGCTGATCATCCAATCGGCAGAAGCGACCTGGATGTTGAGTTTCTGAGGGGAGCTCGGAGATTGAATCCGCCTCAACCTCATACTGTGCCGACTTGGGACTTATCTATAGTCCTCAGGCCCTACGGGGCCCTCTCTTCGAGCCGCTCCAGTCGCTTAAGTCCGCCCTCCTTCTGGCTTTAGCGTCGGTCAAGCGAGTGGGTGACCTTCAGGCAATGTCAGTCAGTGCTTCATGTCTTGAGTTTGGGCCTAATGACTGTAGAGTCATGCTGAAACCAAGAAAAAAAACAAAAAACGGTTATGTGCTGAAAGTGCTCTCCACTCCATTCAGAGCACAAGCCAATCATCCTTCTAACAATCCCCAATTCAGAAAGTGAGCAGGGTCCTAATCCACTCTGCCCAGTTTGGGCCCTTAGAGTATATGTTTAGCGCTCTGGCCGGTTTTGGCACTCAGAGCAGCTCTTTGTTTGCTTTGGTGGTGATATCTGTGCAGCCGCCGGCCTATTCGTCACCGTCTACTTTCACAGATTTTATAACTTTGACGTCCCTGCCCTGCAGGCACGGATTTTGTCCGCTTAATCTACCTAACCCCCCTTTGTAAGTGGGGAAGGTCGTGTTGTGTAGTCCTCAGCCTAAGCAGCTTGGGTCTCATTATTAGCTCATGCTTACAGGAGCCCTCAGTATGGGTGCTTCGGGCTGGACTCGCAAAGTGGCTTCGCTCTTCAATTGCTTATAGCACGGTGCGATTGGATGCGTTCCCCATAGCATGTTAACGCAACGGGAGAGACCATTCGAAAGGGAATTCTCCAGTTATTTATGTAACCTTGGTTCCCTGAGATAAGGGAATGAGTGTTGCGTAGGCTGCCGTGCTACAAAGCTGCACGCGAGTTCATGACTGTCACTTCAGTCGAAAGATTCTGATGAAATGGCGCTC